CTTAAGCAGTTCTTGGAACAACATAGGAGACTGGAAACACTGAAAATAGGTTTATTCATATTATCTATAATCATACTATAATAATAACATGTAAAATCTTATATGTTATAATTATACTGAACTTATGGTTTGTAAAGATTGAAATATTTTAATTTTTCTTGATTTGGTTATCTCTTTCAAAGTGCGTTGTTTGAACTTGGCATGCTCTTTTGATTTTTTCGTGCTTTGGCTGTTTGTATTTTATTTTGTTTGATACTCTTCTGATATTTTTTGTTGGTATGTTGCTTTGTTTTTGTTGATGTGTGTGTTTGAGTTTGTGTTCTTTGATGGTTTTTATTTTTGCTGTTTTGTTGGTATGCTTGTTTGAATTATTTAATGTTTTATGCTTTGATTAAATATTTTGTTGGGGGTTGTTCTGGTTTTTGAGTTGCTTGGTGGTTCTTATCTTGTTTTCTGTGAATTTTGCTGATTTTGTTGTATGCTGTTTGAATATTTGGTTTTAGTCCTAGAAGTGCCATTTTATGTATTTTTCCCCCCCCCCCCCGCCCGGCCCGCAGGGACGACCATCATTTAACTCCCTCGCTTCTTTTTACTTGCTGTTGGAGGCTTCCTGTTTTTCCTCAAGGTGCTCCGCCATTTCTTACAAACACCACCTAAAGCAAATGGCTCATTTAGGCAACCCCTGGGGGCAGTCAGCCTCGGTGTGCCTATGAACGTTTGTGAATAAAGGCCATTCACCAGGGAATTCGGGATCCCGTACTGGGTATTTAAAGCCATGCTGTGGGTGGACGAAATCCTGCACCACTTTGAAACCATAGCTGGTATTCACAGGGGAAGCATCACCTCAGAGTTTTTTAGGTGGTGCAGGATTTCGTCCATCCACAGTAGTGGTTCTTTTCTCAACAGGGGCCACAAGGGGATGAAACTTCAGTGTTCCTCCAACTTTCCCAAGCCCTGAATGTATCAACTAGCAGCAGTCCTTCGACCTCCAATGTGCAAAAATCTTAAAGATGGTCTGCAATAGAGTCTACGTGTCAAGCCTGATTGTCTTCAAATTGGGCCTTATCAGCTGGTTGACGCCTTTTGCTGCTTGATCGCGGCCAGTAGGGGACGACCTCACGTGACCTAAGACGATCTAAGAAGTTGTTTGCTTGTTTTCTGTTCACATTTCCGTGGTACGAACAAGCTGTGCTGCTAGATGCTAGCTGGGAGGTTAGCAGGCTTAACCTGTTCAGATTCATGGATAAGGTGGAGCATGACATACTATGGATGGACGAATTCCTGCACCAGCTTGAAATTGTGGTAAACCATTGTTTGTTTGTTCGTTTGTATCTTCAGGGGCGAATTATTATTCCTTCAAATGCGGGGCCTGGTTTTGCGTAAGCCCAGCTGTGTCCATGATACACATGGGCGAACGTCTTGCTCCCGGGGCCCCAAAACATGGTGGTTTGCCATTGGCTTCCCTCGCAAAAAAGGTCAAAATATACATGCCTAATCGTTCACAGATATACTGGTCGGAAAGGACAGAGTGTCTCGGACCCCACGTTGACCAAAACATGAAATAACGGTGCCTTCTATATGGGGGTATCATTTTTTTGAGGGTACCCCTTCTTGGTGGTTAAAGGGCCCTTCGGCTGAGGCTTCAACTCGTAGAGAAAAATCCGGAGAGCTGGACATGTCCTGCGGAGATTGACGCCCAAGAGCCTGTTATACCAACTGCATCCCCTTTCCCAGACCTCCAGTTCTGCACTTTTTGCCTTTAGACGTTTGGGTGAACCAAGAAAGGGGTGCCCTTCTTTCCTGGCCACTAGTCTGTGCCTTTCAAGCTGACAAAGTATCTTGCTGGTGCTGTTGTTCTACATGCCTATGCTGTCTGGTGGTTCAGCCCATCTTATTATTTGCTGATTTTAGCATGGGTGTCAAATGTCCACAACTTTAAACTACTAAACAGGGGCAACTGGGGTTGCATTTCAGTTTGCATTTCAAGGTTCACGAATCAAGTGTTTTGTGGTTGGTAAAAGCTGAGGATTTCGGTAAGGTAAGGTTAGCGTCGTGCTGAGGATTTCTGACGGGCAGAGCAAGATCTCAAAGGCAGTGCAGAAGCGATACGCTGAGCTGCAGTCGGCATAGCTCGGCGCATGAGGTCAACCTGAGCACGACCAAAACTTACTCAGTCAAGTTGCAATTTATGTGTAATGTTGACCCCCTGTTTATTAACGTGGGGGTGTCCCTGGTTTTAGTGTAATCCATCACTTTTGGAGGGGTTCCTCATCCTCATAGTAATCCACCAGAGTTTATTTGCCCGGGGTCTTCCGGGTCGCCGCAAATTGGTGGGTGGCACCAACGCAGTTGGATTTGGCGAGAATGGACATCCCCCATCGGAGGTGTAGAGCTCCGCTCTCATTCCTTCTGTGGCTTCTCTTCACTGTTCTTGGATCAGGTTTTTTTGGGTTTTTAGTTTTTTGGTTCTGTTCATTTCTACTGGGGGTCTGCAAAAAACAGTCAGTTTTTAGCTACCATACCAAGAGTAGAGATGTTCTTGAACAATGTTTCAACTTTGGTGGTAATGAGTGCAAGAGCTGAACTGCACATTTGATAGGGCCTTGCTTCAGTGTTTGAACTCTACATCGGATTTGCTTTGTTGGAGTTTGCCAGGGGTCCAAGATGTTTCAAGGATAAATCTGTGAACCTTGTACTTATACCCTATGTAGCGTTTCTGGAGGCCACAAGCCAAATGCTGGGAACAAGTTTCAAGTATGGTCCGGACCCTGCCAACAAACCCACATAACTAAGCTCCAGGAAAATGGTTAGCTTCCAGGTGATCCCCCTTACGAGCCTCAACGGTTCAGATCCGACATCGGCACACTGCCCTTCCTGATCTCTGACCGGACTTTGGTCGTGACTCGGCCGGGCGAAGCCCGGTTGGATTGAAGGCAGGGTGTTCATTCACCTCGACGTGACCGATTTTCCACTTCAAACTCAAGACATGTGGGGGTTGGCAAGGTGGCGCAAGGTGTGTCCTTCGATCGTCATCTTTTGCAGGCCGAAAGAGGGGCGCCTAGGGATTCAGTTGGAAGTCTCCGAATCCGAGGGTGCCCCCAAAGCATGGCTTACCCCAGGGTTTGTCTGCCCCGCAAGTGCTTGAGTTCCTGACGTCCAAATGCACACCAACCCCTTCAGTCCGCCATGTCTTGCGGACTGATGTGCCCCGTGGCAGCTGGAGCTAATTGCCCGGACTGTGAAAATGGAATGAAATGAAGTGAAATCACATGGGAGTGGACGGATGGATGAACGCATGCATGAGGGGATGAATGCATGAATCAAATACCAACGACGTGAAGGAAAAAACACAAATGAACGATGAACAATGTTGATGCGGTTGTTGGTGTTCAATTGAATTTAATGTCAGGTGTTTTGAGCAAACATGACGTCAACATAAGTGAGTCTGATACCAGGGTTAAAATGAACATGGTTAGTAGACCGCATGTTGGGCCCTTTCGGCGACCTGGGAACCTATCGAAAAAGAGAAACCAACTTTGTGGGTTTTCCTTTACTTCCAGAGACTCAAGTGAAATTAAAGTGTTGGTTGACTTTTTGGTTTTCCTTTTCCTTAACTTTTTGGTTTTCCTTTCCTTTTTGGTGTTTTTTTCTTCGGAAATCAATTTAACATGTCGCAGAGGCGCTGAGGCGTCTGGCCCAGGCAAAGGGAGCGCTCCTCGACTCAAGCAGTGTTTTGTTTTTCTGATGCCGAACAAAAATTGCACCGAACATCCTAGTTGGACGGTTTCAACAGGAAACACCGCTTCTTCAAGCTGTTCTTGGACCTTCTTTTTTTTAGATTGTTGGTTCTGTTCAATTTTGCCGCGGGTCTGCAAAAAGCACAGTTTTTAGCTACCATACCAAGAGTAGAGATGTCAAAGTCAGCCCTTAGGTTCAAGGGAAACCACCAACCGGTTTCTGAATTTAACCCCCAGAAACAGTCAAACAAAAAAATACGTCGTTTCTTGGAGTCATTTGCAAGACGGCATTCAAGGCAGCACGGAATTGTTTTTACTCGATGTCATTGGTTGAATCGCATTTGTTGAGTTTGTTGGATTTGGCCCCTGCCTTGGTTCGTAGGTACGGGCGCTGGCAGTTGTGGCAGGCTCAGATGTGTTCATCCAGGAGCTCCGAAGCGAATCCAAGGGATGAAAAACCTTGCGGGTGTCTCGGGTTGGTCCCTGAGTTCTGCTTGAGACTTGAGTCACTTCTTGGGCTTGGACCATTTTAGTGGTAAAACACTTTGCACTTGTTCTGACCAATCCACTGGAACGGAAGTGAGTTCCATGTCTTAACAGGTTTTTCTTTTGATGCTCGGGCGGGCAGGGGGATAATGGTAATAAATTGGTTTCTGGGCTTTAGTAAAAAGTTACGGGTGTCTTCTCTCAATGGATCGGCCCTGTCAACTGGCGGCAAAGTAGTTTCGAGACTGAATTATCCAGTATACGTTTAGCCCGCTTTGTTGTGTTGGTTGGGCTTTCACCAACCAATGGGTGTCGCCTCCATCCGCGGCCACTAAGAAATCATTGCCACGGTCTGTTGAGGTCACAGGCGGATTGCGGGAGCTCCCATTTCATCCAGCACATGGATACATCTATCCTTCCAATAGCTGTGGCCCGACGTTAGGAGGCAAATGCGGAGGAGCTCAGAAGCGCGATTGGAGCGTGGATTTAGGTAGGGCACTGGCCACATACCTGGCTTCATGATGTCGCCTGGTCAGTTGGCAAAGCACCTTCGGCTCAATCACGACGCTCGGAATCCGGGAGGCTGCAACCTGCAAGTGTTGGGCAGTATTGATCCCCGGAGCTTATTTCCTTGACACCCAATTACATGGCAACACTTTCGGGAGCTTTTTCGGGCCGGGTTTCAAAATGTGTCATTTCAATGTGTGCCGTGATGCTCAAGCAACGCGTTGGGCTTGAGCAGGCAGCTGGACTGTCCATGTTGTTCTTGCAACCCCTGGCACGCAGCAATCCAGCGAGAATCGGTTGAATTGCCATGAGCGAGCATGGCTCCTAAGAAGAGCGGCAAGGCCAAAGCGAAGCCTAAGGCTGAGAACGAGAATAAGGACCTGGATGCGGCAGTGTGTCAGCTGACTCGATTCCAGTGCCAAGCTTACCTGGGCGCGTCTGTTTGTTGAAACTTCCCCCCCCCCCAAAAAAAAATGAGAGTTTCCCTTTGGTCGTTCTTTTCCACAAAAAGGGTATTACACAAACAGGCCCAACACAAACCCACGCTCAACCTGTTGCTTGGGGCCGAAGCTTGGCCGGGAATTTCGGCCAGCGGGCAGCGCAGAAAGTGTGGGGCGATTGACCTGCGCTGACTGCTTCGACTTGGGTCTGCTCTGTAAAAGGGCTCTACCTCTCCCCATGGAGAGGTGGGACTTGTAACCAAACAGCACCCCCCCCAGCAACCGCTTTTTCCCATGTCCAAAGTCCGAAGTACTGTCCAAAAGCATGCATGAGCGCGAAGGGACAAAGTCCACAGAAGGTTTTCAGGATGTGGGGGGGTGTTTAGGGCAAAATGGTGGGTAAGTTTTCCTGCTGGTTTTTCTTGAAAACCAGCAAAACGGGAGGGTTGCCTCAAAAAAGCACACCCAACTGAGTCATGGCTCTGTAGCTCCTGACTTCCAGTTGGCGACTCAATGCCGTGCTTCGCCCAAAAACAACTCAAGCGGAGGAGATCCAGTGGCTGGAATCCACTTTGGAGAAGCTCGCGCTGCAGCAGCAGAAAGGCCCAGAATGGCTGAAAGAGCCCCACGAGTGGCACAAGGAGCGAAATATTTCACGATTCTCATTCTCAGTTGCCCAAGGCGAATCGCCCGGTCAGATCCCAATTGGTCCACAATAGGTCATGGCCCCAAACTTGTCCAATGAGGAGTTCTTTGGTTTTTCCCCCCCCGCCCCTTCCACTAGCATGACGCCTGGCGCGGTGTCCCTTTCGGCAGGTGCCCCGTTTGCGGGAGGAAGGGCGCATTTGGATTGGACCAGATTCACACACTTCTTTGGTTGAAGTTTGTCAGTTGGAAGCCAGCAGTGACATGTGGAACATTTTGGGTTTCGGTTGCCGTTTTCTGTGATAAACATCGCCTTGAGTGATCAACAGGAATGGCTTATTCGGGCACCATAGACATCATCGGCCACAACTGGAAGCAACACCCCCCGCGGTTTGGCATGGAGGGAAGGCCTGCTTGGTCGCAGCTTATCCATATCCAAGCTGGGCAGGGAAAAGGGCCAACACCAAAAGCTCGAGTTGTTCAAACGGGTAGTTGATGCTTGTGTAAGTTCTGGAGGCCCTCTTCCCATCTAGTGCTACCCAAACCCCACCCATCCAGGTCACCGATTGCGTCAGGAGCAGCTGGAAGAGCTCAGAAGCCGCCTGGAGGGGGGCCTCAAGTCGCCCTCCGAGCTCCGAGAGGGCCTCGACTTCTACCTCTCCCAGCGCCTGAGCGAGAGAGGGGAAAAGTAGCTTGGTTGCTGCCAGGCATCCGGTTCCCTAGCTTCTTAGCCTAGTGTTAGTGGTAGTTTCCATTTGACCCACTAAAAGTTACTGTCGTCACTTTTAGTGGGGGATCTGAGGGCAGCCCAGGTACTGGCTGGGGGAGAGGGAGCCCAACTAAGTTTTAAAGGAGGTCTTATTAAGGGCTTAATAAGGGCTTATTTGGGCTCCCCCTCCCAGCCGCCATGAGTGCTTCAGGGTTTTTGTTGTTAAGGGTTCGTTGGTGCAAAAAAGGGGAACCAATCATGGATTGGCCTCACGGGAACCAACCATTGTCAGTTGAGTGGCCTCCAACCAATCAGCTTCCGGTCTTAGCTGAACCAATCATTGTCGGCTGGAAGTTCAGGGTTCCCTGAGGCCGTAAACTTGATGGTACACTCTTGGGAAGCCTATCCGGAATGGATCATTTTTAGTGGGTCACCTTTTATTTCTGGGTCCCAACTGGGCAACTGAGCAGGGCTTCCCAAAGGGTTAGCTGAACCAATTGCCTGGTTGCCTGTTGGCCGTTTTTTTCCTGAGCTCCCTTGCCAGCTTTGGTTGAACAGCTCTTTTGCTGGATGATTCGCTTTTGGCCTGTTTGCTGGGGTCATTGTTTTGAAGGTTTCTGGGGTTTATCAAAGTCAGAAAATGGGGTTGGTTCCTTTTAGCCTACCATTTAGGGGGTGACGTTAACCATGGTTAAAGAATGAGGCCAGGTGTCGGCTCCTTCATTTCGCATAAGTTTGAGCCATTGTTGCTCGAGGCCCACACTCATCTGAAGAATGCCTAAAATCACCCCAAGCAGTGAATCGAACTCGTGTCTATGTCGGCGGCCTGGAGGAATGCCTATAAACTACCTGAGCTTTCGCACCCCGGTTCGCGCAGTGCCCCCTAATTGTGTCTTCAAGAGTTCCGCGATCGCGTGTCAAGGAAAAAGAACAGGGCAGAACGTGGTTGTTTGCCAAGATGTCTACAAACTACGCCAGAAGACACGGAACCAGACATGCCTCCCGTTGCGCCACCATTGAAACACCAGTAGGTCCTCAAGTCACGACAGCCATGCCTGCCAGAAGCAGCGAGTGTGGCCGATGCAGCTGCGCAAAACCCCCTTCATAGCCCAATCGCCTCGCCAGAGAAATAAAAATCAGGACTCGCAGCGAGCTGAGCAACCAGAGCTTCAAGCGGGCTATGGCCTTGAACACGACCCGCCGAAAGCGGACCCAAGGAAGCGGATAACGTGCTGGAGATCAACGGAGCCCTGCAGCACGTTATGGTTCCCTCGACGGCCGCAGCAGGGGGTATGCGGGTATGTGTCCAGCTGAATCCGCCGGCCAAGAATGGACTCCGCGGCTCCGCGAAGCACGTGGCCAAAAGTGATGGCCACGTAGGGCATTTGAAGGTCATTGCACTGCAGCAGGTCCAGGAGTCCAAAGGGCGCGCTGGCCGGCCGCTGGCTCCTGCCAAGTGCCAGAGCGACCGTATTGGTCGGCTAGCAGAAGCCATTGGCCCAAAACATGTCGGACACAAGATACATGCGTTGCAGTGAGCAACGGGGCGAAAGCCCCTGAGGATGCAACACAGGTAGAGCAAACCAAGTAGAGCCCGATGCATAATGCCGCAGGAACCGAAATGCCATCCCGGAAGACCTTAGTTCGAACATGGGGACACAAATGACAACAAGGGGGAATGCTGGAGTTGGCACCGTCCATGGCCGCGAGTGGCAATTTGGGCTTCGCGCCATTTTTCCTTCCCATTCAGTTCAGCCGTCAGCTGCCACTCCCGCAGCACTCCCAGAGCCGAAAACCACTGTCCAGGGGAAGCGCACGCCCCGCGCGCACAGCCCTTGGCTTCCTGGTTACCAAGGGGTGTGTGCAAGGCCCTCGGCGCCTTCTAAGCGTATTGCGGGTGGCTCCCCCGGAGAAACTGGAGTTGAGCCCGTGGTGTTTTGTGTCGCCGTGATTGGCCTCACAAAGGCTTGTCCCCTTTGCCAAAGTGACAATATAGAGTCAGACGATGAGGGTCTTCATGGAGTTGGCGCCAAACTCGTCCTAAATCCAGCCTTCTGATAGTTTGACGAAACTTTGGGATCCGCGGTTGTCGGCGACAAATGGGAAACAGGTCAATGTAGGCCCCCTAGAGTCTTTCACTATGCCAAGTCATGCCCGGTAGGCTCTGAAACCCTGTTTCGAAGTAAGGCCTTCATGATGGCTTAGGCTTGGGGGGTGGTGTGGGGCAGTGGGGGACTGGTTTCCATGTTGCCAGTGGCCAGCAGGTTCGAAGATGGCCAAGCTGTGGGAGAGGACGAATTCTACATCGATGCTCGGCGTAGCGCGAAGCTCATGCTTCTTATTTCCTTGATCCCTTGGCTGGACCCGACGTTCCCGGTCCTTTGATGTCCAGTGAGGCTTTGCCGCTCTGTGGTTCAAGTTTTTACCTTCTGCAGCAGTTTTCCCTCAAGCCAAACGTGGTTCACTTCTTGCACGGGGCCACGACCGTGACTCAAAGCTCAAGGTGCCTTCTGATTCAAAAGCCGCCTGCAAATATGTCCACAGTGTTTTACTAGCGAAGATCGCAAGGTTCCTATCAGCACCCAAGGTGCCCTTTGACTGCGACTTTTGCGCTCTGCCAACCGAGCCGTTCGAACGTGTTGCCCTGAAAAACGCCATGTTAAAAAGGCTGGGCTGGCCACTACTCACGGTCAACCCGATTTTGTTGGGATCCCCTTTTCTACCATTTGGGTCACTGGTCTGGGAGAACAGTTCTTGTCGCACATCATTGTTTTCGCTTTCTTGCACATGTTGGCCCTGCGTCATACTGTCGCCAGCGAGCCCTCACTGGATATGCATTTTGACACCCTTCGGAAGCGACAAAACCACATTCGATACGCTTGCTGGTTTGACCGTGCGACCGTTTGGTCACTCACCTTTTTGGACATGTGTCTGAATGTTTATTTCGCCCACAATCCTGCCGGCAAGCGGCGGTTCAACCCTTTTGGCGGCCAAAGAAGCAACCAGAAACGTCAAAGGCTTTTTCGGGGGAAGAAGTATGACAGGCCGCATCCCGCATCAACTTTTCAACCCCGCACGCCTAACATTGGGTGAGTGAGACAAGGTCGCATGGCAAGGTCATTCGTGGTGGAGTGATGTATGTGGTGGGGGATCTCAACCGGACATGTCTAACTTCGGAGTAAATCCGGCCCGAAATAGGCAATTCCTTTCTAAAAGAGGAGTCAGCCCTGAGTAGGCCGGTCGCCTGGAATAATCCGAAGATTATACAAACAACGTCCCTCAAAAATGGAGGAAACGACGGGTGGCCAAAGGATCTTAGAATCCTATGACAAAGGCCAACCCCCCCCAAAAAGA